CTTCTTCTATCCCAATGTAAAGCACACACTGCCTGATATCACAAAATGAACCCAACCTGCTCAAGCATCTTTCACTGATGTGTTCTTTATTTCCTTAAGCCTAAAGATGCATTCATCAAAAGTTTGATAATTGCTGAATATATTGGAAACGGTGCCGACCGTGTGAAAAACCGAGATGGGTTCTCTGAGGTTACTGCAGATATTCTATTCAATATTCCAGTCATTAAAACTGCTAATGCGCACAGAGGTAACTTTTATAGATTAATGCACATTTATCTAGAAACAATTATTTCATATTTACCGCCCTTACTAAGTGTGACACCTGTTTGTCTAATTGTAGAGGCGGGTGCTCCTGTATACCTGTATGAGTACCAGCATTCCTTGAAAATGGTGCAGAAAAGAAGACCGAGCTTTGTTGGGAGTGATCATACAGATGAAATTTTTACAGTGCTGGGATTTTGCTTCACAACTACCCACGTTAAACTGCCTCGTGAGTGAAACCTAAAAAGTTTAATCTGAGCATGAGATATTTGGGTTGTTAGTTTTTGGGGTTTTCTGGGGTTGGAGTGCAGGATTTTTTACAAGATTATCACTTTAGAGCCATGCTTTGTGGAGGAGGAAGAGTTGAGCAGAACCATGATGAGCTACTGGGGCAACTTTGCTCGCACAGGGTAAGCTTACATATTTTAGTATACTGGGAGATAATACCACATACCACATTGTTATATTGTGTATGTCTGTCTGCATGTAGGTCTCCTAATGGGCACAACCTTGTCCACTGGCCAAAGTATGAAGCAGATGAAAAGTACCTGGCGATTGATTTAAAAACGCAAGTAACTGCTCAGCACTTGAAGAAGGAGCGCTTTGTCTTCCTGACTCAGACCGTGCCAGAGAAGCTCAAACAGCATGACAAAAATGCAGAACGCAGCGAGCTGTAGAAAACTTGCATCTCTTCTCTGTTACGTCAGTTTTTGATATCATTACCAAATAATAAAATACATAAATTAATCACTTATGACTTAATTGCCTGCCTTTCCATTCTACATTCACACAAAACTCATACTAGCCAGTAAACTATGGTTAATAGTACATGTGCGATTCAGTTCTGCTGCTTGTAATCAAAGTTTAAAATGTTTTAATTAATTAAATTTATCTTTATAGCGCCAAATCAGAACAACAGTTTTCTCAAGGGGCTTTATAATGCAAAGTAAATGCCTTAGAATAATCAGATAGCCAGATGATCACTTTATGAGCAAGCACTTTGGTGACAGCGGAAAGGAAAATCCCTTGTAACAGGAAGAAACCTCTGGCAGAACAATGGCTCAGGCAGGGGTGACTATTTGCTGGATTGGCTTGGGGTGAAAGTAGATGACAATACACATGCAAAACAGTGTGAAATAAACAGATGTGACAACCTGGTTCTTTTCATTTTTTTTTTTTCTTTCCTTTTTTTGTTTATTCATTACTGAGAAGAGCGCTTAAGCTGAAAAGCTCCCTGAAGTCTGATGTGAGCAGTTCAATAGGTCAAACTTAGTTTTCCACAAATTCAGGCATATGGCATTTAAAATAGTACAAAGCAACACTTTTAAAAGGCAAATTATTCAAACAGCTGGGTTCACAGAGAAAATAACTTATCAAACAAATACACTAAAGTTGAGATGGAATTTAATGGAGTGACAAAAAGGAAACAAAACAACACTTTAGCAGATATCTATTTTTTGCAAATATTAGTAAAGCTGCAGTCTGATATAAAAGTGCTGGCCAATGGTTTTCAAATGATTCAATATATTGCCCAGAAAAGTGCACTTGGAGTAGGAAAGCTACTGGGCATCACCATCAGGCCATAATGAGACATACAGACACTTACTTGGTACTGCGCTGTTAGATCGTGTAATGTTCAGCTACTAGGTCTAGAATTTAAAACAACTGGGGAAACCTGTAGGGAATAGCTTTGCGGGTATAAAGCCAGGCAAACACTGTGTCAGCCATTAAACGAACAACAAACTCAATACATTTCAAAGGTAAGTGAAGCTTCAGTTTCATACCATAGTTACAGAAGCACACACTGTCTAACGCTGATACTTTGAATAAATCCAGATTATGTATCTGTTACATCTGTTGTCACATTACAATTCCTTTTTCCATCTTACATAATAATTCAGGTGCGGTGATAGTATGTCTGATGTTGCTGAAGGACATAAATGTCTGACCAAAGCTGGTTGATGTAAGTACCGTGTTTGATAAGACGGCGGGCGAACAGTTAGAAAATTGCCCGCTTGTAAAACATATTCAGCAATTCTATTTGACACCATACAATGAATGAAACTTAAAACATGTTTGTTGTACTTAATACTCGTCTGTCCTTGTATCGCTAATGTCGGGCAAAGAGAAAAACACCTGAGATGCTGTCTTTTCTAAAGTCTGGATGTCTCTAAAGTAAAAGAAAAAACAGAGGGGAAAAAAGGCATGCTGCTTTATTGAAAACAAAACAGGTTCAGATAGTGGTTATGAGTGTAAATAAATGCAGCATGCAGTTTAATATGTTGGGCACTGAACTCAGTATAATACTATTATATAGTAGAATACATTGGACACCTTTGTCTTCTTCAAGCACTGCCAAGTACAGACATGGATTTAGAATCAGAGGCACATACAGTTTGATCTATAATAAATGGTGTCATTCCTTTGTTTTTGTTTTTTTTTTTGTCCTACAGTGAATAAATAAATTTGTGACCTGTTATCATGCTGCACTGGAGGATTAAGGTCATACGTTAGGTGAAGACAAACAGTGACACAGGCAGCCTTTCAAAGAGCTTGGATTGGAACAAGCTAAAGTTAGATGGTAACACCCAATGCCTTTCAAACTCTTAAGTTAATCATGATAGTAACGCTGCCAGCAGAAGACAGAGGTGTAATTGTGTAGAATGGTTGTTATGACGGCTATTACTGTGGGAGGAGACTTAAAGCTTGGTGCATCAGGATGTCCAGGACTGCATGTTGCGCAGCATGGCCTCAAATCGCTCCAAGTTGGGGGCATGAGCGTGAGGTAAGTTGTCCGTCAGGCGACTGTACAGACTGAAAGACTTCAACTCCAGCCAGATGAAACCAAACCGGTCCTTATCAAACAGCACAAAGAGCCCCGGGGTGCGCTCCGGACTTGTAAAGCCATGCCCAGCAATCAGGCCTGTCCCATAGAAGCTGAAAGAGAGATACATGTCCTGGTTCATAAACGTACACTATGCACCGGATATTAAAAGCAATAGTGAAGACGTCTTGATGCATTCTCAGTCATCCAGGAAAGTAAATCTCCAAAAAGTTCATTCTGTTCATCTGGACTTAGCGTTTTGTGGACGTAGCGTTCAGTCTCGACTGAAGAAGTCACTTGGATGAGTGACAACGTTTCTCCCACAAAACGCTACGTCCAGATGAACAGAATGAACTTTTAGGAGACAATAGTGAAGACCAGTATTTTCTTTCATTGATGAATAAATTGTGACCATTACTTAATATCATTGCCCTTTATGGTAAATGCCTTTCAAAATATTTAGAATTCTGTAACAAAAGCCTGTTAGTCAAATCCTCACCATTTTCTGCAGGCGCGAGGGTACTCCTCGTTGCGAGCCATGACCCCCATAGGCAAGACAAAAGGCTGTGTTTCAGGATTGGATCTGCTACTGTGACTAGAGTCACAGCTGTCTGAACAAGCACCGTGATTTGACTCCATCTCCTCTGCTGCGCTGGAACCACCACAGGCCCCTTCAGCTGCACATCTACCTGTGGCAGAAGTGCCATTTTCCTTTTGTTCCTGCTCCCTCTGTACTTCCTCATGCACTCCCATTACTAGCTGTGACAGCTCCTCAATGTTACACTGTTGCTCCAAGTCTGGGAGGACCACAGGCCGACACAGGTTAACATCCAGTGTGAGCTGCCCTGCAGGAACATTGGGATCTCCCTGCAGGAAGCCATAAAATCAGAGTATGCACCATGAGTAGATTTACATGCAATTTAAATCCACAGTCTTGAAAAAGAAAAACCCATTTTCAGTTCTAAGGTTTTATGTATCACAACATAATTGGGAAACAATAGAATAGAATAGATTTCAACTTTATTGTCATTGCACATGTCACAGGTACAAGGCAATGAAATGCAGTTTGCATCCATCCAGAAGTGCTTTAGCCACAATATAGATATATAAACAAAAAACAAAAAAACACCTAGTCTTAACCAGGTCTGAATGTTATTTAAAGACTATCTCAGATTAACACATGATACCATTACACAGCATCTTATTTATTTAACAAAAAATTAGCCAAAATACAGAAGTGGTGTGTGAAAAAATAAGTGGACCCCATGATTCAACAGAAACCAATGTTAGCAGCAGTAACTTCAAGTAATTGCTTCTGTATGACTTATGTATGACAACTCATACACTGGATATGCTGAATGTGTTTGCTGAAACTGGTGCTGTGCATTATGGCCAAACAGGGTATTGAGCCTCATTTACTACAGTGCGCATGCACAAATCTGTGCGTAAATTGTGCACACGAATGTTTCAGGCACAAATTTGTGATTTTAGAAAATTTTTGTGCCTGAATTTGTTTGTACTTTAGGAATAAATTTAGAAGTCCCTCTGACCATGCACTGCACCTAAGGAATTTAAACAAAGGTCTTTAAAATGCACACTACTACTAGTGATACTAATAATAACAATAACACTTATAGTTATTATTAATATTGCCTGAGACACAAAGTGCTCAGAATTACAAAAAAGGGATGTAAAGAAAACAAAATACTATCACTAAGGAAAAGCACAGCCACTGTTCAGAGGAAACTCATTTCCGCTGTTCATATCCTTTCAGTCACTAACCAACGTTCATGACCCTAGGTGACGGGGAGGGTGAGAACTTATGAGAGGGAAAGTATTTTTTGCGCATGGCAAAAACATTTCCACACAAATATAAGTGAAGCCCACTGTTGCAGAAGTCTTGTGGTTTGTTCAAATTATACTTGCCATCAGAATCAGAATTAGAATCAGAGCCATATTTGTTAAGTCATTTTCTAGTTTTGCTGTAATGGATTTTAACATTTAACATGCTAACCAAAGCATGCAGAGTCTGAGATGTAGCTCTTGGGTTTCTTGCAATTTTTCTGAGTACTGCAGGGTCTGATCTTAGGGTAAATTTGCTAGGATGTCCACTCCTGCAAAGATTTGTTGTCTTCAACTTCTGAATGATCTCTCTTATTGTAGAATAATGGACTTGAAATTGTTTGGAAATGGCTTGTTTTACTTTGCAGATTGCTGCTCACACTCACTGGTGATCAGTTAATCAAGTGCTTTTAATTAGCAGCAGGTGGTTACTACTTACCGTCTTAATTGCTACAAAAGCATTAAGTGTGCACTTAATTTTTCACACACTTCCAGAATTTTGGCTTAGTTTTCATTAAATAGATAAAAGACACAATGTAACATGTTATATCTTGTTGCTCCTCTAAGAATGCATGAACAGACTTTGAGGGATTTTAAGCTGCAGGGCCCACATTTAAGAATCCCTTTCATTTAAAATAAGTACAACCACTAATAATGATTATTACTTACAGTGAGTTTGGTTGCTCTTGCAGACATTCCATGGAAACTAAGCATGACAATCTCCAAGCCATGACTACCATAGGTGCCTTTGAAAAGGCCTGGCTGCAGCAGATCAGAGGGCTTTGCAGGTGGCAGGTAGATCCTTCGGTATGTCAAGCAGTTACTGTCATAGGAAAATAGATGAAAGCATACAGGTTTATTTAGGTATATTACAATCATTATCATTTTAACATGGAAGTACAACAGAGAAAATGCACGTAAGCAAAAAATAAATTTAAAAAAATGCATACTCATATTGACTAGTATAAATGAACTTCATTAGGATTAGCTCCTGCATGTGCTCATGAAATATTTCTTCCAGTGTCCTCCCCCATTCTTCCTCCAACCATGTCCTGAACTCCTGCACAGACACACACATCATAAAAAGT